GGCGGCATCGCGGCTTTCCCCTTCGGCATGGTGGCGCCCGACGTCGCCGCCGGCACCCTCGTGCCGGTGCTGCCGGACTGGCAGTTCGAGCCCCTGCCCGTCACGCTGCTGACGGCCAGCCGGCGCCTGATGCCCGCGAAGACACGGGCCTTCATCGATCACCTGTTCGACACGGTGCCGGAGTGGGCCAAGACGGCCCTGCTCAGCCTGCCAGCAAAGCCTTGAGGCCGGCCTCGTCCAGCACCGGCACGCCGAGGGTGCGGGCCTTCTCCAGCTTGCTGCCGGCTTCTTCGCCGGCAATCACATAGGACGTCTTCTTGGACACCGAGCCGCTGACCTTGCCGCCGGCGTCCTCGATCAGCGCCTGGGCTTCGTCGCGGCTGAGCGTCGGCAGCGTGCCGGTCAGCACGAGGGTCTTGCCCAGCAACGGGCGCGGGCGGTCGTCGGCTTCGCCGCTGCTTTCCTGCGGCTTCACGCCGGCCGCCAGCAGCTGTTCCACGACCTCGACGGTTGTGCGGCTGGGCAAAGAAGGTGTGGATGCTGGCCGCGACGATGGGGCCGACGTCGGGCACCTCCAGCAACTGCTCGACGCTGGCGTTCATCAGCTTGTCGAGCGTGCCGAAATGGCGGGCCGAGGTCCTTGGCCGGTGGTCTCGCCGACCTGGCGGATGCCGAGCGAGAACAGGAAGCGCGCCAGCGTCGGCGTCTTGCTCTTCTCCAGCGCGTCGACGATGTTCTGCGCGCTCTTCTCGGCCATGCGGTCCAGCGCGGCGAGCTTGGCGACGCCGAGCTTGTAGAGGCCCGGCAGGCTCAGCACGATGCCGGCGTCCACCGAGCTGCTCGACCGAGCTTGTCGCCCAGGCCCTCGATGTCCATCGCGCGGCGGCCCGCAAAGTGCAGCAGCGCCTGCTTGCGCTGCGCCGGGCAGAACACGCCGCCAGTGCAGCGGTATTCGATGCCGCGCTTTTCGCGCACGGCCTCGCTCCTGCACACCGGGCATTCGCGCGGCATGTGGAAGTTGGGCACGTAGGCCGGCCGGGCACCGGGGACGCGGCCGACCACCTCGGGGATGACGTCGCCCGCGCGGCGGATGATGACCTGGTCGCCTACGCGCACGCCCTTGCGGCGCATCTCGAAGACGTTGTGCAGCGTCGCGTTGCTGACCGTCGTGCCACCGACGAAGACCGGCTCCGAGCCTGGCCACCGGCGTGAGCTTGCCGGTGCGGCCGACCTGCACATCGATGGCCAGCAGCGTCGTGACCTGCTCCTGCGCCGGGTATTTGTGCGCCACGGCCCAGCGCGGCTCGCGGGTCTTGAAGCCCAGGCGCGCCTGCAGCTCGCGGTCGTTGACCTTGTAGACGACGCCGTCGATATCGAACGGCAGGCTGTCGCGCTTGGCAGCCATCGCAGCATGGAACTCGACCAGCCCCGCCGGCCCCTGCACGACGGCGCGGTCGCCGTTCACCGGCAGCCCGAAGGCCGCCAGCGCGTCCAGCATCCCGCTGTGCGTGGCCGGGGCATGTCCCAGCCCTGCACCTCGCCCAGGCCGTAGGCGTAGAAGCACAGCGGCCGCTGGCGCACCAGCGCCGGGTCCAGCTGGCGGATGGCGCCGGCCGCCGTGTTGCGCGGGTTCACGAAGGTCTTGTCGCCGCGCTCGCGCTGGCGCTCGTTGAGCTTCTCGAAGTCGTCGCGGCGCATGTAGACCTCGCCGCGCACTTCCAGCACCGGCGGCGCCTCACCTTTGAGGCGCAGCGGGATCTGGCCGATGGTGCGCACGTTCTGCGTGACGTCCTCGCCCGTCTCGCCATCGCCGCGCGTGGCGGCCTGAACCAGCACGCCGTGTTCGTAGCGCAGGCTCATCGCCAGGCCATCGAACTTCAGCTCCGCGGCGTACTCCGACCGGCCCGTCGGCCTCGGTCAGTGCCAGCTCGCGGCGCACGCGGGCGTCGAAGGCGATCGCCCCGCCCGCGGTCGTGTCGGTCTCGGTCGTGATCGACAGCATCGGCACGACATGGCGCACCGGCGTCAGCCCCGGGCAGCACCTTGCCGATGACGCGCTGGGTCGGCGAGTCGGCGGTCAGCAGCTCCGGGTGGGCGGCTTCCAGCGCCTGCAGCTCCTGGAAGAGCTTGTCGTACTCGGCGTCCGGCAGCTCGGGCGCGTCGAGCACGTAGTACAGGTGGGCGTGGTGATTCAGCTGGGCGCGCAGCTCGGCGGCGCGCTGGGCGGGTGCGTCGGTCATGGGGCCATTGTCGCGGGCTCACAATGTCCCGCCATGTCTGCCCGACTCACTCTGCACGCCGGCCCCGCCGTGGGCTTCGACCAGCCGTTCGAGATGCTGATGGCCTGCCACGACCGCGTGCGGCGCAGCCTCGATCTGCTGCTGCGGCTGCAGGCACACGTGGCCCGCCATGGCGCGGACGCCGAGGCCC